CCCAAGGTGCAGGTCAGGCTTTGTGGAATTTTCCAAGATGACTTCCTTTCCTCTACTTAGTTTTATTGTAATTTACTTAAAGACAGTGAGCAAGACAGGTTCACTTTGAACTGCAGGATGTGAGGTTGTTTGGAACCTTTATTTTCAAGCCTCTATTTTGTGAACACTGCAAAGCTTTCTTATGTCAAGCCAAGTGGCTGCTCTATTTATTTCTAAAGGATGAGAAGGGTTAGGAAGAAGAAATTGTACAGGTATTTAATAAACTTTTCTATTTTAGTCTTGTTCAAAACTTTCCCTTTATAGAAAGCTTTGTTTGGATTTTACCAAACCTCATCATGTATATCAATCAGTCAATAAACATACATTAAGCACCTACTATGTGCCAGGCACATAGAGCACTAAGTGCTCAGAATACAAAGAGTCAAAAAATAGTCTCTGCCCTCTAAGAGCTTCCAATCTAATAGGAGAGAAAACATGGAACAAATATATACAAAGCAAGCTAAATATAAGATAAGTAAGAAATAACTGAGAGGATAGACACCAGAATTAGGGGCTGGGAAAGAATTCCTATAAAAGATGGAATTTTAGTTAGGCCTTAAAGGAAGCCAAGAAAGCCAATAGGAAGAATTGAGGAGGCAGAGCCTTACAAGCATCGGAGACAGCCAGAGAAAATGCCCAGAGTGGAGCCATGGAATGCCTTGTTTGTGGAACAGCCAGGAGGCCAGTGTCACTGGATTGAAGAGTATGTGTCAGGAAGTAAGGTGTAATAAAACTGGAAAGGTAGGAAAGGGAGTAGGTTATGAAGGGCTCTGAATGACAAACAAGTCATTTTGTATTTTATCCTAGAGAGGATAGGAAACCACCAGGGTTTGTTGAGTAGGAGTGACATGATCAGTGTATTAAAAATTTGTAAGTGTGCATCCTATCCATCAGAGAGACAAATTATGTTTTTCATTTGCTAACTTTCAATGTTTATCTTCATAGTCTTTCAAGCCTCCTCACTCTTCATGTTTCATAGAAGGAGCTTGGGAAATCATATACTTTGTCTGAGGTTACATGTAAAGTGTATGAAACAAGTCACTTAACCCCAATTGCCTAAAAAAAAGTGTATGAAAAAGAAAGGATTATGAAAACTCACATTTAAAACTAGAGAACACCAAAGTGATATCACTGAAGCGTGAATCTGCCTGGATCACTGTCAGGCTCAAGAAACACCAGTGGCTCCCTTTTGTCTACATGATCAAATATAAAATTCTCTGGTATTTACACTCCATTAATATTTGGCTCCAACCTACCTTTCCAGGCTTATTATATAATATTCCATTTTATGCACTTTTAGATCCAATCTATCTAACCTACTTGCTAGCCTTCACATGCAACATTCAATCTTCAATCCCTATGATTTTTCACATGTGATCCTTCATGCCTGTTATGCATTCCCTTTTCATTGCTAATAAGTTTATGTTATCCTTTTGGTATCCACAAAACAAACAGAACTCAAGGAAGGCTTTCAACGGGTTGGGTGGACTCTTTGGGGCAAACTCATGGGAGGACATAACAAGAGCTTCACAGAATGAACAGGCATGGATGGATTGTGGTCCAAATCATTGGAAGGAATATTCACACGAATAAAAGTTACACTGGACCTGACCAAATTACTCCCAAAAATACAAAATGACTTGTTTGTCATTCAGAGCCCTTCATAACTTACTCCCTTTCCTACCTTTCCAGTTTTATTACACCTTACTTCCTGACACATACTCTTCAATCCAGTGACACTGGCCTCCTGGCTGTTCCACAAACAAGGCATTCCATGGCTCCACTCTGGGTATTTTCTCTGGCTGTCTCCGATGCTTGTAAGGCTCTGCCTCCTCAATTCTTCCTATTGGCTTTCTTGGCTTCCTTTAAGGCCTAACTAAAATTCCATCTTTTATAGGAATTCTTTCCCAGCCCCTAATTCTGGTGTCTATCCTCTCAGTTATTTCTTACTTATCTTATATTTAGCTTGCTTTGTATATATTTGTTCCATGTTTTCTCTCCTATTAGATTGGAAGCTCTTAGAGGGCAGAGACTATTTTTTGACTCTTTGTATTCTGAGCACTTAGTGCTCTATGTTATTGGAGTAATCTACTTAGATTCATCAGAAATAACAAGTGGCCTCTCAAGCTAGTGAAGTTTTGTCTCTACATTAAAAGTAAGATTCTCTCATCTTCAGAAATCAAAATAAAAAATGTAACATTCCCTCTGCATACTGAAATTTCTCACATCAAGTACAAGCTTTGTCCAAAAGTTTTCTCAAAAATATACACATCAAGAGAATCCTCCCCTCTCTGAACAACAGCAGAACAAAATATCCTGCTTTCTTCTCCCATGACAAAAAACAGCCACCATTAGGAATCAAATCCAAGGTAAAAATCCACATCACTTTAAGAAGTCAACTTTGAAGAAGAAATTGTAGAAATTTTATAATCCTTCTTTTTTAATAAAAACCAAAAAGTAATTATTTTGAAAGGAGTAGGAGGTAGATCTGTGATTTAATCAGTGTAGGGAACTCCCAGTGTGGAAATTTCTTCTACTTATGCAGATCAGCAACTCATTTATAATGTATATCCTCGGAATTGTATAAAAAGTTATACTTGACCAAAATTCCACCATTTTTGGTATGGTATTTTTTGTTAGATATTATGGGAGAAAAATTCTGTACTCTGTATTTATTTAACCAATGTCTGTCAATGACAACTCCCAAACTCCAAGTATTGCGAATGAAAGTTTTTTATATAGCAAAGATACCAGATGAACTATTCCAGTAAAAGGTTCAAAACATATATGCTTAGGGACAGCTAGGTGGCACAGGGGATAGAGCTCTGGCCTTGGAGTCAGGAGGATGTAAATTCAAATCCGGCCTCAGACACTCAACACTTACTAGCTGTGTGACCCTGGGCAAGTCACTTAACTCCAATTGCCTCACCAAAAAGCAAAAACAAAAACAAACAAAAACACACACACACACACACAAAAAAAAACCCATATGCTTAACCAATCATATAGATTGGCTACACCTGTAGCTACTAAAAGCTGAAAAGCTAAAAGCAAATTTAGCTTTTTGCCATTATTTTGAAATGGAAAAACATTTTAAAGAGAAAGAAAAATGTAACAAATGAAAGAAAATTTAAAAGTTAAACATACAATAACAAAGTTATGGCAGTGGAGCCAATAACCTAGACGTGAAAAAGGATTTGGGAAATTCCTTTTATTATTGTCAAAGAACTCTGAGAATTTAGAGGAATTCTGGGTCACAAGACCAGCAAGACAGTGAACTAGACATTTTCTGCAGTCCCTATTAACTCTAAAAAACCTCCAAAAAGAGGAATTATGTGCTAAATGTAAAACTTCAGATGAATCCATAAGATGAGAGAGAGGGAAAGAGAGAGACAGACAGACAGACAGAGACAGAGAGAGAGATGGAAAGAGAGAGACAGAGAGAGAATCCTGAAAAGGTAAAATCCTTTTAAATTAACATCAGACAATATTATTCCCTAAAGCACTCACTCAGAAACACTCCCCCACCAGCTTTCACACTCACATCAAGGACATGCAAACTGCCCTTTCACCTACTGCTTGAGCCCAAGGCCCACATAAGAGTTTGATAGCACAACTTAACTTTTGTCCACCCCCACAAGCCCACAACAAGCAGCAGACATTCATTCTGACCAGCTTTGTGAGGGGTGAAGAGAGCACGCTGCCTTCTGACTGGAACATTCCTTTGTTTAGGGAGCCCCCCAAGGCTGCACAGACTGTCCAGGACACCCTCCCTGTCCTTCTGAAATCTGAAAAATCAGCAGATGGAGATTCATCTCAGCCAGAGAAAGAAAGGAAATCCAAGAGAGGAACTGGGCCAGTATTTGGTTGCACCAGGCCTGAAAGAAAAGTAAACCTAAGTAAGGCTAGTCTTGTTCTTTCAGAGGCTTCTTAGGGCAAGGATGAAGACCAGTAAAACCTAAATCCCTCAAAATGGTAAAAGGCTAATGGGAAAAGGCTAATGAAACATTGTAATCTAGCTCTAAGAGTGGGTCAACCAAAAAAGGATGAAGATGCAGAAAGTGACAGAGGAATAAAAGAAAAAAACTTTTAAAAGATTTCAAAAGGAAAAAAAATCCAGAGTATTATAGTAATAACAATAATGATAATGATGAAGATGATGATGATAGCTACAACTTATGTAATGCTTTAAGATTTGCAAAGCACTTTACAAATATTATCTCCTTTCATCTTCACAACAACCTTGGGAGGAAGATGCAATTACTATAAACAAATAAATCAATAGAAAGGAGCTTAAAAATTAAACAGAATAATGAGCTGTTTTTGTTGTTCACTTGTTTCAGTCATGTTCAAACTCTCTGTGGCCCCACTGGGGGTTTTCTTGGCAAAGCTTTTGAACTGATTTGCCATTTCCTTCTCTAGTTCATTTTATAGATGGGGAAACTGAAGTAAATAGGGTTAAGTGACTTTCCCAGGGTCATATAGCTATTAAGTGTCTGAGGCCAAATTTGAACTCAGGAAGATGAGTCTTCCTGATTTCAAGTCCAGTGCTCTATCCACTGTGACACCTAGCTGCCCCTAGAATAATGAGTAGTTATCCCTCAGAGAGAATGCAAAGCTTTATTTAAAAAAAAATTTAAGCAAAAGCAAACCAATTCCTAATGAAACATAGAATACTGTGTAATCCAAAGAGAATATGGAAATAACAGGAAATTCTAAAGTTGGTTTCAAAAAAAGAGAAGAAGTTAGGAATGAAAATATATAAAAATTTATAGCTCTCAAAGCAGATTTTTTAAAAATTCAATTAGCAGAAGGAGGGGGCGGGAATTAATCTATATTTAGAAGAGTTTCTCCAAAGAAGCAAAAGAGATGAACAGATGTAGAATTTTTAAAAAAAAATGTAGAGTAAAATCGAGCAGGAAAGAAGTAAAAAGCAACAAAATTAAAAAATATATGATTGTGCTCACTTCAACAGAGTATATACTGAACATGGAATGATACAGAAAAGATTAACATGACCCTTGTGCAAGGATGACACAAATTCATGAGTTATTCCACATTTTTGAAAGTTCTAAGAAACTATTAAAAACAATTAATACCAATGTTACACAAATCAATCTTAAAAACTGAGAAGAAAAGCATTCTATCAAACCCCTTTTATGAGATAAATATAATTCTATTACCTAAACCAGAGAAGGATAAAGCAAAGAACTGTAAATATAGACCAATATTATTATTACTGAATACCAATTCAAAACATTTAGATAAAATCCTGTTGAACATATTACAGCAATTCATTCAAGAAATCATTTATTATGTCCAAGCTAAATTTATACCAGGGATGATTATATTAAAAACAGTAATATTCCCAACCACATGGTTATCCAAATAGATCTGGAAAAAGACTTTGATAAAGTTCAATACTGATTGATGATAAAAACCTTATACTGTAAAGGCATGGGGAGATCTTTTCAATGTCATTTAAAAAAAAATACCTGTCTGAAATCAAAAGCAAGTATCATTCAGGGATATACTAGAAGCTTTTCCAACAAATAGAGTAGTCAAGCAAGGATGACCACTTTCTCTGCTATTATTTTATATAGTCCAAGAAATGCTAAGGATAGCAATAAAACAAGATAAACAAATTAAAGGAACAAAGAGGGAGAGAGGAAATAGAACTATTCCTTATTTGCCGGTGGCATGATGGTTTACTTAGAAAATCCTAGGAAACCGAAAAGTTACTGAAATAACTAATGACATCAGCAAAATGGCCGTCTACAAAATAAACACACAAAAATCAACAGTATTTCTAGGTAACAACAATAGAAAGAGAAATCCAATTCCAAATAACTACAAAATGTATAAAATACTTGGAAGCCAAACTGCCAAAGCAGACTCGACATTTGTATAGATTCGGCTATGAAATGCTCATTAAAGAAATGAAGACAACTTAGAGGAATATTGAAAGCTAAAGGCTAATCTATTCCAATATAATACAAATGAGCATACTATCAAAGTTAATATACAGTTTTAATCCTATCCCAAACTACCAAGGCTATACTTTAAAGAATTCAAAAAAATAGCAACAAGATTAATAAAATCTATTAGAATATCAATGGACTAACGAAAAAAGATAAGAATGAAGAGGTAATAGTACTTCCAGACCCCAAACCATATTACAGAACAATATCAAAGCTACTTGGTACTAACTAAAAAAAAATAGAAAAATAGATCAATAGACTATCAGTAGACTAAACAAAGGAGAAACAAAAATAATAGAACTCAATAATCTAATGTTTGGTAAACCCAAAACATAAATTATTTTGGAAAAAAATCTCTATTTGATAAGCACTACTGAGAAAAGCAGAAAGAAGTCTGGCAGAAATTAAACCAACATCTTATAGCATATTCTATAACCAATTGAAACCAAGTAAACCCCTTCTAGCTCAGGTGCCAAGAGCGCTGGAAGCAGCAGAAGAAGATGGCACTGACCAGTTTTTTGCTTGCTCCAACTCAGCTTTCCCAGGACTAGCTTGAGGTTGAGGAAAGGGCAAGATCACAGAGATCGAGGCAGACTGCACTGATCTCATCAAGAAGAGAGCTTGGGTATTGAAAAGGTTGGATAGCTCATTTGTTAGAGGATTTTGGAGATGGAGGTGCCTTTCCAGAAATGCATGTGAGCCCAATACCCATTGGATATGGGAAGAAAGAAGAAAATGTCCAATGCATTGGCCATTCAGGTGGATGCAGAGGGAAAAATTAAATATGATGCAATTGCTGTACAGGGACAATCAAAAGACAAGGTCATTTATAGTAAGTACACTGACCTGGTTCCCAAAGAAGTTATGAATGCAGATGACCCAGACCTGCAAAGATCTGATGAAGAAGCCATTAAAGAGATTGCAGAAAAGACATGGGTAGCCCTAGAGTAATCTGTACTTCAGAAGGCTGCAGTTGCTATGCCCGTTCGAGCTGCAGATAAACTAGCTCCAGCTCAGTATATCCAGTACACACCATTTCAGCAAGGATTGGCTTTCAATTCTGGAGCTAAGCAAAAAGTCATTCGGATGGTGGAAATGCAAAAAGATCCAATGGAGTCTCCAAGATTCAAAATTAAGAAAATTCCTCGTGGTCCTCCTTCTCCTCATGTACCTGTCATGCATTCTCCTAGCCAAAGGATGACCATGAAAGAGTAGCAAGAGTGGAAAATTCCACCTTGTATTTCAAACTGGAAAAATGCAAAGGGTTATACTATTCCATTAGACAAAAGTCTGGCTGCTGATAGGAGAGGACTGAAGACAGTCCACATAAATGAAAACTTTGCCAAACTTGCTGAAGCTCTCTACATTGCTGACAGAAAGGCTCATAAGGCAGTGGAGATGCAGGCTCAAGTGGAGAGAAAGATGTCCCAAAAGGAAAAACATGAAGAAAAGCTTCGAGAAATGACCCAGAAAGCTCAAGAGAGAAGAGCTGGAATCAAGACTCATGTTGAAAAAGAGAACGGGGAGGCTTGGGAACAAGATGAAATAAGACACAATAGACATAAAGAGAGACAACGTGATAGGAATCTTTCCAGAGCAGCTCATAATAAGAGGTAAAAACTACAGAGAAATGAGAATTGAGATATCAGTGAAGTCATTGCTCTTGGTGTGTCCAGTCCTCAGACTTCCAATGAAGTTTAGTATGTCCAGAGGCTATTCAACCGGACTAAGAGTATAGACTGGTTTTGCTGGTGGAGAAGATGAAATTTATGTTTATGATCAACCACGGAGAAGTGGCAAAGACATGGCCCAAAATATCTACAGACCCAGTAAAAATCTGGACAAAGACATGTATGGTGATGACCTAGAGGCCTGAATAAAGACTAACAGATTTGTTCCTGATAAGGAGTTCTCTGGCTCAGATCATAGGCAGAGAGGCCAAGAAGGACCACTTCAATTTCAGGAAGATCAGGAAGATCTCTTTGGTCATTGGGGAATCCTGTGTAAATGGTCAGGATGAAAACCAAATCTGGGATTGTAGATCCCACTACTTTTTATTACTGGGGCTGGGGAAAAGGGGAGTATACTTTAAACTAGCCTGCTTATTTTTAAAGGGGGTGGACCATATTCTCATGTAAGGCTTTTGCTTCCCCCTCTCAGTCAACCCATCTTTCCCCAACCCATTAGCATTGACAGAAGCTCCATACTCCCCAGCATACCAAATTAAGATTATTATATCTTTAGTGATGTTAGTTTTGGGGGACTAACATTTCATAGTAGAACTATCCTTGTACATAAGGTTTATCGCCAGCCATGCTGAGTAGTTGGGGGAGGTCTCCACATAATGGAGCTGTCCGCTGCTTATTGAATGTTTGCCCCTATTGTGTGAGTGTGTGGTTTTAATTTGGAATGGGAGAGTCAGCTTCTGTGTGCTGCAACTGTTTTAAATAAAACATTTAGATAAAAAAAAAAGTGGATACACAACCTGAATTTTAAAGATCATACCATTAAAAAAAGTTAGAAGAGAAACCAATCATATCATTTTACTATAGGAGATAAATTCCTAACCAAGGAAAGGATAGAGGTAATTACAGTACAAAAAAAAAATAAAATTGATGATTTTGATTATATTACAGCCTTTTCACTTGCACACATACAAAAAAAATCAAAATATCTAGAATAAGAAGGTGACCAGTCAACTGGAAAAAAATATATCATATTTATTGGATAATGGTTTTGTATCTAAGATATGTAGAAAACTAGTAGAAATATGAAGACCAAAAGCCATTCCTCAATAGATGAGAGGTTAGAGGATATAAACAAACCATTCTCAAAAGAAGAATTATCAGTTCTTCACAATCATATCAAAGAATGTTCCAAATCACTAATAATAAGAAAAGTACAAATCAAAACACCCCTAAGATTCTACCTCACACCTTGCAAATTGGCAAAGCTGGCAAAAGGTTTTAACAGTCAATCTTGGAGGGGTTGTGATAAGAAGGGAGGAAGGGAGAGAAGGAGGGAGAGAAAGGGGGGGGATGGGGAGATAGGGAGGGAGAGAAGCCTGGGGCAAAAATATATCAAACTTGACAGAAAAAAGCAAGTTAAAATAGAGGGAGGTTTAAGAGGGAGGATATACTAGGTAGTATGAACTAATAGAGTAAAGTGAGAAGTGGGAGAACAAGTGATACAAGAATAGTAACATTGTAAAGAAAAATAACTTTAAAAGACTATAATTCCGATCAATGATCAACTATGTCTCCAGAGGACCCATAATGGAGCATGTAACACATCTTCTAACAGAGAGATGTTAGGCAAAAGGAGCAAAGAGATACAGTTTTAGACGTGGCTATTATGTTCATTTATTTTGCTGACTATGCTTATTCGTTACAAGAGTAGTTTTTCCTCTTTGTCTTGGTCTTTAATTGGGGTGGAGGGTCAGGGGGATAATAATAGTAATACCTCCAAAAAATGAAATACAATTTTTTTTCAGAAAACAGGAGGACATTCATAAGGAAACACAAATAGGCAAAATAATTTTGAAAGTAATATGGAGAAAATACATACTTTTTTCAGCATGCAGTGTAAAGTACAGATTCATAGTTTCATATAATACCCTCTTTTCCTGTTCCATTGTGTGCAGGGAAATGCTGCAAGGAAACTTTGTGTGTGTGTGTGTGTGTGTGTGTGTGTGTGTGTGTGTGTGTGTGTGTGTGTGTGAAACCAGAATTTAAAAAATGTTTTTCAAAAAAAAAAATAAAGACATCCTTTTACTCCTTTAGAAAGAAGGGGATGTTACCAGATTTTTTTTAAATGTATTGGTTGATTTTGCTGGAACTTCTTTTTTTTTCTTTAAAAAAATGTTTTAAGGGATGGCTGTTTGAGAGGAGGAATGGATACATGGTTAAATTTAGGTAATGTAAAAACAAAAGATATCCATAGTATTTATTTTAATAACATTATTTCTATATAAGCCTAAGTCATTGAACTTAAAGACAAGACAAAGAGACAAGTTAACAGTCAGATGTTTCCAAAAATATGACAATTTTTAAAATCTACACACCATTCAGGAAATAATATAGG